GATACGCGAGTTGAGAGAAAAAAAAGAAGTGATCCCAGAGAGATTATTATCTGAGAGGAGAAACTTAAGTGAGGCTGTCCTTATTTTTTTTCTAACGTGCTATATATATATCCTTATGTATATTCATGTCAAGATGCAAGGGAAGACAATAAAGAAGGTTTGTTGGAATAAACCAAACGTGGATCTCAACCGCATGAGCCATTACGATGCATCCCTAGTTTCAATGGTTGTTCTGACCCCGACACATTCCTCGATTGGGAGCGAAAGATAGAGCTTATCTATGATTGTTATGGATACAATGACGAGCAAAAGGTACGAGTTGTTGTACATGAATTTACAGATTATGCTTTGAGTTGGTGAGACCAAATCCATCGCAAGAGAAGAGATGAAGGAAAAACACCCATAACTACTTGGGAGGCACTGAAAAGAGCGATGAGGAAAAAATCTATACCATCTTGGTATGAACGAGAGCTTTACCAATGCGTACAAGAACTATATAGAAAGAAGGTGTAACAACCCGGCCGGCTCAAACCAGAGCGTCACCGCCACGCCACACCGGAAGGCTCGTTCATCAATCAATGAAACCTACGTTGTGGCACTAAGGCTAAAATAATAAATACAAAATACTAAATAGGGATTTAGAATTAAAGCACACCGGCTTATCAATTAAATAAGTAAAGTTCGAATCAAAAACATAAATTGGAAATAGTTCAAAAGGGATTAGTCTTTAAACATGATTAATGAATTTCAAAAGAATTTTAGAAGGTAAAGTAGCTTTAATTTCCCCGATGGATCATATAACGTGAATGCATCATTTAGGTATAACGGAAGCATGATCACCTACAAAAAAATTGTAAGAAGAGGGTCAACACAACGGTTGAGTAAGCGCAATTAATCGAAGATAAATTAATACGGTATAATGCCACAAAATCATTTGAAGACGATAATTGAATAAGATGACACGTATCATGTAAGGGGAACTCACGCACACAAGTCTTTTAGCGCCTCCCTTATATCTCCTTTTCATTCTCAAATAATAGTGATGAGCACATCACGGAGAAAATTCCACTAGGCCTTAATCAAGGCCCGCTTGACCCGGTTTTCCAACCTTATTACTTCGTATGACACGTCACATAGTTTCACATAACAACCATAGGGTCACAACCCTCAAGGAAAACTCCACAAGTTGTACATAAGGGTTCGAAATCCAAAGTACACGTAAATCAATTTATTATTAGTTTGCGAGGGGCGCCATACGGCCAACAACCCTCTAGTCTCCAATATAACATACCAAGAGTGGATTGAACACAATCCATCCCTCCATCACGGATGACGGTCTAAAGACCTTTTCATCATAAATCCATAAAGAATTCAGTCAAATTGATAGAAATCCATCTAAATCAATTACTAAAATCCATCAAATTAAGCGTAGACTCTGTGGATTTTCTAAATCTACATAAATCCATACACTTTTAAAAATCCAAAAAAATCTATTACAATCTCAATTGAATACACCCCCTAAATGTGTGAAAAATTTTCACTTATGAAACTACTTTTAAATAGTCTCCGATTACGGAACTAAAAAATGATAAAAAGGTCCTGGGACTAAAAAATTATATTTTATGTTAAACTATTACGTTTTTATAGTATATAAATATTATATATTATATATTTTGTATGTATTTATATTTTTTTAATATTAATCAAAAATTGTATTATTATTTTCTTTTTTATTAGAACACACCCAATTTGCTAAAAAAATATATAAATTAAGTCTACAAAAAAAGAAATGGATGTACAAGTTTAATTTATCGCAATAAATAAAACTCGTGTGAGGATATTATGTCATTTAAAATATAAAAAGTTCAAATCCTTCAATTAATCTACAAAACAAACTAGATTTGAAAAATATAATCCCAAATAATTTTACCAACCAAATATATGATATGATTCCAAATTTTAAATTTAATAAATCTTATCACATATAAACTCTGACGTAAAATTTCAATCCCATAAAAAATAGTCTATGAACCAAATAGCATCTTATATTCTTCGTTAGCTTTTTTTAGTGTTTTAATATTCTGTTATATTTTAAGAAAAATAAACTAAATCAAATAAATATATTTAGGGAAAAAAATCAATTTTGGTCTCAATATAATCAAAATTTATCAATTTTGGTCAAAATATTAAAAAAACTCATCTATTTTAGTCTCATTATAAACAATATCAATCAATTTTGATCTCACCGTTATAAAACTAACTGAAATGGCTGACGTAGACGTAATAGAGTTGACGTGGCAGCTGTCCTGGAAAGTATACGGCCATGTACAATTATGCACAATCATGTTGTCACACGGCCATATATAATTCTACGTGACTGTGGACCTTTCTATTTTGGTCTAAATTTTTTTTTTTGTTATATATTTTTTTAAAAAAATATTTTGAATTTAGAATAGTTTATAGTTAAAAAAAATCAATAGTAATCATAATATAATTAAAGTATATCAATTTTAGTACAAATATTAAAAACATATCGAGTATATTTTTTGGAAGATTTTGTTTAAAATTCTACTATTTACCAAAAATATTTCTCGTAAAAACATTCAATTACACTATTATTTATTATTTTGTATATTATAGTATTAGAGATTAATTTTATATTTCAATACAATTTTCTTTCAATATTCTTTCTCACACGCTTACCAAAAAAATTTAATGCACTATACATATTCATAATTTTTATACTATACAATTCCTTATAACTCACATAAATTTTTTTTTTTTCAACAATCTCACAAAGCAAATACACATGTCTAAATTGTATTGGAATGTAAAATAAAATTTTAATATAATATAAAAAAATAAAAAATAGTTGTGTAATTTGATGTTTGTAAGAGAATTTTTTTTTTAAAGAAGTAGAATTTTAGACAAAATATTTCAAAATAACATATCTTATAAATGTTTATATTTGAATTAAAATTGATACATTTTAATTATATTAGGATTACTATTAATTTTTTCCATTTTGACTATATCAACTATTCTAAATTCAAAATATATATATATTTTAAGAAAATCTAACCAAAAAAAAAACTTTTAGACCAAAATAGAAAAGTACACGACCATGTAAAATTAAATATGGCCATGTATAACTGTACATGGTCGTGTACTTTTCAGATCAGTGGTCACGTCAACTCCGTTACGTCCACGTCAGCAATTTCTGTTAGTTTTTTAACGATAAAACCAAAATTGATTGAAATTATTTATAATGAGACTAAAATTGATGATTTTTTTTTTTATATATATATATTAGGACCAAAATTGATCAATTTTAATTATATTGAGACCAAAGTTGATTTTATCTCATATATTTTGGGTGTGTTTGTTTGGGGGTTTGGATTTTGAGTTGGGATTTGAATAGTAAAAATTTTGAATTTGAATAGTTGTATGATGTGATATAAATAGGTGTTGATGTGATGTTTTGAATGTAAAAAATTGATTTTTAGTATAATATTAAAAATAAAAAATAGGTTTTTGATTTGATGTTTTTAGAGGAAAAAAATTGGATGAATAGTTGAAATAGTATAACAAATTAATAAGTTTAAATACAAATAAAAACTCTTATTTCGGTTCACACATATGCATATGTTATATCCTCTATAAATTGATACAAATATTCTAATATATATATATAATATATGTTTGACATAATATACAATATGTTATACACGTACCACACACGAATGTGCTACACAGTCAATATGTATGCTTTTAATTCATTCGCATCAAGGTATTCGCATGAATATATATGGGTTGAATGAAATGAAATGCACACCTCTCATCCTCTCTATCTCCCCACATCAAACATTCAAAATGTCATACTACACCATTGTTATCATCATCATCACATACACCCACACGTACATACATACAAACTCATATATATATATATATACTAATAACTTACTTATACTTATACATTATACATACACCCACAAATGCACACACATCTACATATACATATATATACTTTATATTATATATTATATACAATATATAAAATAGTGGTTAGCGGTAGAAATAATTAATATTTCTATTGACTAATCCTATATTAATATTACAACATGTTATCAGCACGATTATATATTTTAATTTCTGCAAGGTAATATTTTATATTTTATCTGTTTATTATGTCTAACCATGCCATATAGGAATTTCTTCTTCTTCTCGTTTCTGGCCAATACTATGTGGCCTGGGCTCGTGATGTTAAAATGCATCTGGCATCAATGGGTTTGGAAAGTACCATTGTCTAGGATAAAAATTCCCCGAGCCAAGATCGTGCAAATGTCATGATCTTTTGTGTCATCATATCGATGAGACACTGATAATGCAATATGTGACGTTGGAATCCCCACTTGAATTTTGGGAAAGATTGAAAGAAATATATGATCACTTGAGGTTGACTTTGTTGCCAAGTGCACGAAACGAATGGCAAAGCCTACGGCTTCAGAACTTTAAACAGTCCAAGAATATAATTATGCCATGTTTAAAATAACATCACAGCTGCACCACTGTAGCGAAAATATATCTGAATCTGATATGATGGAGAAAACTTTCTCCACTTTTCATGCCTCTAACATGGTTTTGCAGTAGCAGCATCGCGAAAGATGCTTCAGAAATATTCTGAGCTAATCACATGTCTTTTGCTGGCTGAACAAAATAACAAATTGCTGTTGAAAAATCATGAATCTCGGCCCACAGATGCAAATCCATTCCCCGAGGCAAATGCAATACAACCGAAAAATCCGGTGCCTGGTCGTGGGCAATTTAGAAATCAATGAATTGATCGCGATCGAAATTAGAATTGTGGACGGGGCCGGACAAACGCATATGATCAAATAATTATCAAAACATGCCCCAATATATGCCAAATCGGCGTTATAATGATAGAAGGCCATACATACCTCAATAAAGGTTCAACACTGGGAGAAACAGAAACAATGACGAGGAATACACCCGGTGTGGAATCAAAGGCCATTGGGCCCATGTTTGTCGCACAGCCAGTCACTTGGCTGTATTGTATCGGGCCTAAAAAAAGGCAGGGAAGAGTTTTTGCCAAAACAAACCATGCTGCCCGTGATGACACATTTGATGATGTGATGAATAAAAATATCAAATACCTGGATGCCGATGATCTGCTTGAGATAGCTGATGATGTTAAATGATAAAATGTTGTTGTATCTATTTTGTTATTTTGATGTTTTCTGCCCCTTTTTGTATTACCTCCTATAATCTAAGTGTATTTTGATTATGTTACTAATACACTTCTTTTATTATTTTTACCTTCTTGCAAAGATATGGATGTCAAATATTTTGGAGCCGATGACAATATCTGCCTTATCGACAGTGCTACAACCCACAGCATTCTGAAAAATAAAAGTTATTTCTCCCGTCTGAATATGGGAAAGACCACTATTGTTACTTTCAGTAATGCATTGAAACTGATAGAAGGCTCAGGAAAAGCTACTGTATTTCTCCCTAAAGGGACAAAAATAGCAATTGAAAATGCCTTATTCTAGAGCAATGCTCGAAGGAATTTACTGAGCTTCAGTGATATTAGGAAAAATAGGTATTACATTGAAACATTGAATGAGACAGAAAATGAGTATCTCCTGATAACTCAGATTGTAAATGACAAAAGAATTGTGAAAGAAAATTTTCCATAATTTTCTTTCGTCTTATATTATTCAAAACTCAATGCCGTTGAAATATATCACCTAGTAGACCAAATGGCTGCTAGCGAATTTAAAACTTGGCACGATCGACTGGGGCATCCTGGCAATGTAATGTTGAGGCGAATTGTTGAAAATTCAAATGGCCACTCATTGAAAAAGAAAGAAATTTCGAGTCCGAATAAATTTGCTTGTGCTGCCTGTTCCCAAGGGAAGTTAATAATCAGGTCATCTCCAACAAATGTTGGATTTGAATCCCCAGCTTGTCTGGAAATAATTCAGGGTGATATTTTGTGGACCTATAGATCCACCGTATGGACCCTTCAAGTATTTTATGGTACTAATTGACGTGTCAACACGATGGTCACACGTATATTTGTTATCTACTCGCAATCTAGCTTTTGTAGACTACTTGCACAAATAATTAAATTGCGAGCACAATTTCCAGATCACTTGATAAAGAAAATACGTTTAGATAATGCTGAAGAGTATTCATCACACACATTTGATGATTATTGCATGTCAATTGGGATTACAGTGGAACATCCTGTTCCCCATAGACATACGCAAAATGGTTTCATTGAATCCCTTATCAAAAGATTGCAACTAATTGCTAGACCATTTTTAATGAGGTCTAAACTTCCTGTATCAGCTTGGGGACATGCTATATTGCATGCAGCAACCCTCGTGAAAATAAGGCCGACAAGTTATAACTGTTATTCCCCTACTCAATTGGTATCTGGAAAAGTACCAAATATATCTCACATGCGAATTTTTGGGTGTGATTTTATGTGCCAATTGCACCACCTCAATGCACGAAAATGGGACCTCAAAGAAGGTTGAGTATATATGTCGGGTATGAATCACCCTCGATTGTGAAATATCTTGAGCCAACAACGGGTGATTTATTTACTGCAAGGTTTGCAGACAGTCACTTTGATGAATCTCTTTCCCGACAATAGGGGGAGACAGTAATCAACTGAAAAAATAAATTTCGTGGAAAATACCAATTTTAAGGATGAGAATGTTCATTTGATTGGGATATGCGGTATGGGTGGTGTGGGGAAGACTACTTTGGCCAAAAAAGTTCGATATAAAGCGAAGGAGAAATTGGGTTTATTCAAAGAAGCTGTAATGGTTGTTGTCGGTCAAAATGTTGATCTGATGAAAATTCAACGTGAGATTGCTGAATGCTTGGGTTTGAATGAGATTAAGGATGTTGAATCATACCAAGCTAGAGCACATAAACTACGTGAGAGACTAATTGGCACAAGAGCTCGTAATTCTGGATGATATTTGGGAAAGTATCAACTTGGAGGAATTAGGAATTCCTTGTAAAAGCGAGTCCGAAGGCTGCTCTGTTTTAATAACTACTCGGAGAAGAGATCTGTTGAAAGAAATGGATGTTCAGATTGTTGAGATGGAAACCTTGTCTGAAGAGGAAGCGTGGTCCCTCTTTCAAGCGAAAGCTGGAGATTGCGTGAATAACTCAGATATACAGTCTATAGCCAAAGAAGTAGTGAAAGAGTGCAATGGTTTGCCTCTTGCAATTATAAATGTCGGCATGGCTATGAAAGACGAAAATAACTGTGACAAATGGGAGAGAGCATTGGATCGACTAAAATGTCCCAACCCAAGAAACATAGGTGATACTTTAAAAGAAATTTATAACCCATTGAGGCTAAGTTATAATTACTTGAAAGATGAGGATAGCAAATCCTTGTTGCAGCTCAGCAGTCAATTTCCTGAGGATTTTAATATTAGCCTCGAGGACCTAATCTTATGCAGCTTTGGGTTATGGATGTCGGAAGAAGGTTGTAATTTGAGATATGCAAGAAGTAGAGTTTATGATTCAATTGATAAGCTTAAAAGTAATTTCTTGCTAATGGACAGAGACTGGAATAACACTATCAAAATGCATGATGTGGTTTGTGATGTGGTTAGATTTATCGCATCTGAAGATGGCTTGGTCGATTTGCAGCATGAGTCGAGGGGATATTATTCTTCTAGTTGCAAATGGATATTGGAATTTCCGGAAAAGGATAGTGATTTTCTTAAATACCTTTTGGGGCCTAATTTTCCAAGTCTTCAGCTTTTGCTCCTACAAAAAAGAGAATGGTGGGACTCAATTTTCAATGAGCAACGGGTTGACTTCAGGAGAGTGAGTTACTATATGTCACATGGTCAGTCAAATGCTTTAGAGATAAGTGACTTTTCCTTTATGGAGACAATGAAAGAGCTTCGCGTGTTGTCTTTCAAAGAAATATCGTGCAAATCACTGCCACAAGCAATTTTGTTGCTGAAAAATCTTCGGACATTGCGGCTAAACAATTGCCCATTGGAAAAGATTGATGTTGTTGGCACGTTGTTAAGTCTTGAAATATTGAGTTGTGTTTGGTGTCCAAATATTCATGAGATACCTCTTGGGATAGGGATGTTGAAGAGGTTCAGGTTGTTAGAATTTTCCTACTCCTCAGGTCTCAAAAGAGTATCTTTTGGAATCATATCAAACTTAACTGCATTAGAGAAATTGAAGATGTTACATAGTTTCAAGGGATGGGAAATCAACAAAGCTCAATGAAACGAAGAGAAAAAATGCCACTCTCAAAGAGCTTGAGTCATTACGCAAGCTAACATGCCTCGAGATTCAAATTGAGGATGTTAGTTTGCTCGAGGAGGAGATTCAGCTTCCACGTGTACAAAGGTATAAAGTTTTATTTGGAGAAGAGGATCGTAGGATTCCAGAGAAAGCTTTGATTTTGCATGGATTATCAAAAGAGAACATTCATATTCCAAATTGGATCATTGGACTTGAAAGGAATACTGATGTGCTATCTTTAGAAGGAGATGGTTCGATAAACTTTCATCTTTCACAAGTCCATAACACTATTAAGTCTTTGAAAGTTCGGGAATGTGGAATGCTCAAGTCATTGGTAAATGCAACCACGGCGGCAGCGACATCAACTGATTGTAGGAGCTTTGGATCTTTCAGAGAATTAAAGTCCATGGAACTTTATGATCTTCCAAGCATAAAAGAGTTATGTGATGGACCAATATTAGAGGGATCAATTTCTTTTAATAATTTGCGAGAAATGCATCTTGTAACATTGCCATCAATTGAAAAATTGTAGAGTCCAAATCAACAAGTTATGCTCAACAACTTGGTTGAGGTACGCTTGGTAGAATGCAATGAGCTACAAAATCTCTTCTCTTTTAGCAAAGACTTCCCCTCAAATCTTGAAAAGCTCCTTATCAGGAATTGCAAGAAGATGAAACAAGTGTTTGTTAATGGACACACAAGTCATGTTCTTGTCCCGAAATTGAAGATGCTACAACTATCCAAGTTACCAAATCTTACTAGTTTTAGCAAAGCAACGGCTAGCATTGAGTTTCCAATGTTAGAGGAGTTGATGATACAGAAATGTCCAAAATTTGTAAATTTTGTGGAAAGCAGTGAGAAGAAAGAGGAAGGAAACACCGACGAGAATAGCCCAATTACTCTTTACCTATTTGATCTCGAGAAGGTATGTATATCCACATTATTATTATTATTATTATTATTATTATTATTATTATTATTAAACATGTCACTGTCATTTTTTGCTGAAATTATTATTTTTTAAGAAAGTGTGTGGATCTAAATAGTAAAAAATAAAAAATAAAAGTTATCTAGTAATTTTGTATTTAAATTTAATCACTCCGTTCCAGGTAAAATAATCCTTTTTATCATTTTAGTATTCCCACTCAAAAATTATCTTTTTTCTAAGCAAGTATTTTTCTTGAAATTTAATATTAGATATCTACCTTTCATTTTGAAAATTATATTAATTTTTTTCACTGAAAATATTGTTGCAACCATTATTCTTATTTAGAACATCACATTTAATTTTTTTTTTGTATAAAAAAAAAAATAATAATAAAAAAGTCATTCATAAAGTAAAATGAATTTTTTAGTCTTTTTATTGATGTTAAAGAATTTAAAATACATTTGTTTAAACATAAATTAAACATAGTAAACATAATAATATTAAATTCTTAAATTCCAAGTTTTATTATTTTATTATTATTTTTAAATTTTCGTACTTGCTAGGTACATATGTCTGTTGATGATTGTCTTTGAACTTCATTTATACACAAAATCAATGCTACATTGCTACGTAAAAAAGTGAATGAAGTTATTCATCAATCTCATTGTTGTTTTATTCATTGAAATATCACTAATATTAACTAACTAAATATGAGGTTGTATTTTTGCAGGTTAAATTCGGTAGATTGGAAAAGTTAACCATATTTGATTGCAACAATATCAAAACTTTGTGTACAATTTCAGTAATTGATCATTTTGTCAATCTCAAAAAATTGTGGATTAAAGAGTGCAAAATCATGGAACAAGTGATAGCAATTAAGAAAAGGGGATGTGAAAGTTTGATTGTAAAAGATGAGGTGATGGAAGGACTTCTAAAAAAGAATGAGAATGAAGATGATGAGATGACAAACTACATTGTTTTGAACACCATGCATTGATGGGCGGTGAGGTCCCATATTGACTCCGAATTTGGAGCTTCTATTTCTTGAAGAATTATCAACTCTAACTAGCTTTGGGAAAGGGATTGAAAGCATTGAATTCCCAATGCTAACTGAAATGAAAATTATGGGTTATCCGAATTTCATGAGCATTATTTGTTCCACGGAATCAAATAAAAAATGCCACCATGAGGATGACGATGATGAAGATGAAGATGAATCCCTTCACTTATTCTGCAACCAAAAAGTATTTATGGTTTACCTCAGATTATTCTTTAGATATTGTTTCTATTTGTTGGATTATTGTGGTAGGCTTAATGATAAAATTATTTGAATTGATCAACTATCTATCTCTGTGTTTAAAAATATTTAACTAGAAAAAAGCTTGTTTGTTGTAATTTGTTTTTCTTTTGCATAATTTATAGTAAAATATATTTCTTCAAATTTAGTATTCAATATTTATTTTTATTCAATCACCATATCCAAGTAAAATGATTTTTTAATTATTAATGATTATTAATCATTAAAACTAAGAATTTAAAAAGGTATAATATGAAGAAATTAGCAAATTATTACATAATGTATAGCACATTAATTTGAAATTAATTAACAAATTGTCATAAGACATATAATATATATTGTGTTATGTAATATGCTATTACATTGTGATGATTTGTTATTTTCTTTATGGACATTTGCTAATTAGATCAAATTACTATTGTGATGAAATCAAAATACTTTACTTTTCTATATATAATTATATAATGTGTAATTCAAATATATGTCATATTCTCTGTATATATATATATTTATAGACATTTGCTAATTAGGTCAAATCAACACCATACTTATTTGACCCAATCAGCACAGCAACCAGAGCCTATTGAAGTAACTATTTGTATTGAGTTTTAGTTTGCAATACAACTAAATAACAAAAACAAATCTGAATTCTATGAGTTATTTTTATTACTATTATATAAAATTTTCAAATAAATTGAAAGTTACAGTAAATATACTTACCATTTTAATATGCTCAATATATATAATACTCACTATTTATTCGAATAAATAACAATTTTGTTATTTTAGTTGTTCAAACACGGAGTAACAATATTTGTAGATCTTATTATACATTGTAAATACTTTCGATCTTATTTATTTGCATCAATATTACATACTAAACATAAGGGAAACATAGTCCTGTAAGGGATGACTTGGTGGTGTAGGAGTTGAACTTGTGACCGTGAGGTCTGTCTGTAAATACACATTCATACATGTTTGACAATCATAGTATATTTATCATGCATGTACCCCTTATTTTGCTCTTTTGAATTTTAATTAATTCTATTAGAAAATATTTGGACTTTGTATTTGAAATTTTAAGTGCATTATATATGCAAGGATTAAAGGTGAAAGACTTCATTTAATTATATATCTCAGGAATTTTAATTTATAAGTAATTAAATTTGATGCAATACCAGATGTCACATTCAATTAAGTCATCTTTAATTCAATTTCACTTTTAATCGGAATAGAAAATGCTGTTTGTTTTATAGGTTAAAATTGATAGATTGAAGAAGTTGCAAATTTCGGGATATGGAGACATGAGCAATATATGGTGCCGGCATATTCCTCAGTCTTTCTTTATATCATTAGTGATATTGGTGATAACAAGATGTCACAACATCAAGAGTTTATTTTCTTCTGCAATTGTTGGGCACCTTGTCAACATTGAAGAATTATATATTGCAGATTGCAAGAAAATAAAAGTAGTCATTTCTGGCGACAAAAAGATGAATGATAGTTCAAGGCCACTTCCAAGTTTGGTTGAATTAAGCCTTGAAGATCTGCCAATTCTGGGGATGATTTGTGAATGGAGATGCGCTCTTGAGTTGCCATTGTTGGAAAGATTATCGATATTTAACTGCTCACAAATGGAGTCTTTGTCGCTTGAATCTTGGACCGCACCAAAGTTGATGTTTGTGGTAGTAGATGACATGTGCTTTGAAAACTTGAAAGGAGTGAAAGATTTAAATATTTTTCTATGCCCACATACTATGTCCGCAAGCACAGAGGTAATATTTTTACCTTTCTCTCAAAATTAGAGAACTTTTATACTTCCTCCGTCATTCAAATTTATGCTCACTTTCCTTTTTGGGTTGTTATTGAAAAATATTCTCGTTTCATTTTTAAGTAAAAAATTATTACATTTTTGTACTATAAAAAGAAAAAGTAACAATTATTAAAACTTGTGCCCGGTCAAATGAGCACATATTTGCACGACGGAGGGAGTAATTTTTTAGTTATTTGTCTTATTGTATAATCAGTTATATTTTTGCATATATATATTGAGAAATATATATACATATAATTAAGAAAGTTTTTTAAGTAAATTGTCCGTCAAATGAGTAAACATGGTCAAAAATCATATTATATTTTTCTCCTAAAATAAAGATTTCATTGAGAGGTCAGAATATGATCATCTTACCTACGTTATATATATATATATATATATTAATTCCTCTAGGAATCAAATTTATTAGATGAACTGGAGGTCGCAGAGATTGAAGAAGTCTGAATAATGAAAAGGTACTGTTAAATGGGCATATTTAAGTGTAAGTAATTATAGCTTTGTTGATAAGTTTATAGGTTTATTTGTATAAATTTTCGCCAATATTTATGCATTATCTATTAAAAAAAAATGAAGAAAGAAGAAGGGAGATTCTACCTTCTCTAACAAACATTATATATAACTTATTTTTCATCTGAAATAGCATATTCTAAATTTCTATTTTTGTTTGTTTATATATATATATATATTTCCAAAATATATTTACTATTCATTCAAGTAATATATATATATATACTATACAAAGAAAATCACATAAAAACTTAATTACTTTTGTATTAAATTTTATATTTAAAATACCATAACAAGCAATTATTTTAATTCGGTTTCTTTACAATTTTAAAACAATCTAAAACACCTAATACAACTAAATAGTATCCTATTCTTTATTAAAACATTAGATTCAACACTTATTTACTATTTAAAATCGCCATGTTTTAATACATATTTTCATTCAAATTTTTACTATATTGAAAATACGAAAATGCTTCCGATCAAGATATATGATAGAGTTTGCATTTGTGCTTGTAGTATTGTTGATCAAATGTTATATTTTGTTAAATTAGTTCACTGGATTAGAGGAGGCAATGGAGGGAGGGCAGCTGAGAAGGAGCAGAATGTGATGAAAACACTCACTCCAGCTAGCAATCCTACTTGTATTTGATGAACATTCTCACTTAAAATCGATCTCTTTCCCATTTTGCTTTGGAACATTTCGTCCATTAAAAAAGTTTTCTTGACTCATAATTTTGGGAGTTTGATGGAACATTGAACACTTGAGTGTATTAGGGTTTTATGATACTTCTCAACTCTTCTTTTATAATATATTTTTGTGTGTTCATGTTATCATCCTGTCATCATAATTCTTTTGTCCATGATGATTTCGATTTCGATTTGGCCGGTTTAGGGTCAAAACTGCAGTTTTGGTTATGATATGAAATTGCGAGCTTGCCTTTTGTTTTCATTGGCCTTTTATGTTTTGGTTGGCACGAAAACGTGATGGTAGATATTTATGATTGTCATTAATTTGTTATTAGATACAACAACTTGATAGTGATGTGTGATTTGTGAATATTGAAGTCTTGATCTTCCATTAGAAGTTGAAGTGTTTTACCAGTCTAAAGAGCGTAAACATACATAGATACCTAAAATCGAATAGATTATGTTTCCAAGAATAAACAATCGAATATGGCATGTAGGGTGGTATGTTTTGCCTATAAATAAGTAACTAAAATGTCAATTATAGTAGTTTGATAATGTATGGTGCCTCAAATTTTTTTACGGGGTGGATGTTATGTTGAATTTTTTAATTCAGCGCAGCTGAAGTTAATCTAAATTCTTAATTATAAAATTATTTGTTTAATTAAAATAATTAAGTTTAAAACTTAGGACTATAAATATATACAAAAACAACCAAACCCTTAAGAAGAGAAAATGAGGAAGGAAAAGAAAAAAAAATATCCGGCCGTTCGATTGCAATTTTTATTTTGTTAATTCATTCCTAGATATAAGTAGAATTTAGTTACAGTTTTTTAATTATGATTTAGAGTATTTATTTCATGAATCAGATTGTCTTATATAATAATGAGTTTTTATAGTTAATTTTAGTAAACATTCTAGAAGTTCCGAGATTGCCCTTCAACTGAATCGAAGATTATCAACTAGATTTAGTTTATCCGTATCTCTTTATTTAGATATTTTTATCCGTAGATATAGGGTATCCAAGTGTGGATTTGATAAGATATATCGTATCTATGTTAAAGTGTCTATACATAGAGGAGGAGTCCTCATTTGTAAGATACTTCAGTTTTGAGAGTAAATGAAACACTCTATTTTGCCGGGTGCATTTTATAATGTTTTTACTTTAGCGTGCGTTAGTAATGTGTACGAGGCTGGAGTCGAAGAATCACTAGGCCGACAGGAAGGTGTTCGAGAAGGAAGTGTAGCAGTAGCATTTCCAATATGAGCCAACTAGAGATTTTACATTGGTGGTATCAAAACAGGAGGTGACAATTTCATGATGCAGTGTACCAGTAGCATTTACAGTATGAACCAACTAGGGATATTACATTGGTGGCTTTGATCTGAAGCAGCTCAGCAGACTGGGAGGTTTCCCCTTCGGAAGGCTCTGGTTTGCTTTGAAGCAGCTCAACAGATTGAGAGGTTTTGCCTTTAGGAGGATTTGGTCTCTTGCAGGGTTCTAAAGCCTTTCATATTTATACTTTTTGGTCATGCCTCCTTGTTTAGGTAGTTTTGGACTCATGTCCAACACGGATATTTAATCATATAGAGCTTGAATACATTAAATTAAACATGAGATTAGGTCGTATAAAATAATATTATCCACCTTAATTTTATATAGTAAACGCACACATAATATACTATTTTAAACCTATGTATATATATATAATGCAATACTTTAAAGTTGTTTTGACTGAGTCGTTGTGGTGCATTTGTACTGTTTAACAAAAAAAATAAAAAATCAATTGTTTTATAGTGATTTAATCGGTCATATAATGCAAGATTTTATTTATTTTATTGTATATTTTACTGTGAAATTATAAATATATAAAAATATATATATATTATTTTCTTCGTCCGTCAACAATTATATCAAGTGTGTTTTTAGAAGATTGTGTCCAATATTTTTTAATGCATGAGGGAGCCTTATGCAATTTTTAAATTATTAAAGTATACAATGCAAACTTTCCAAACCACAGATGATATGTAAGCAATTTTGTCTAAATAATAATCAAAATATCACTACTTTTTTCTACTTATTTTTTTTATTATTATTTAATTTTCTAGAAAATTTATATAATACTCTTAGCGTACTTTTTATCTATATCATTTTACTTTTTATATATCTCATTTTATATTAAAATACTATTAATAAATCTTCCAAATAAGTATAAACATATCAGATAGCAGGAGTATAATTATTTGAGTTTTGTTCTATTTATATCTATATTTATATTTATAAATAAAATAGTCATTGAAAATGGTTAAAATGAAAGAATATTACAAATAAATAATACTCCGTCTCACATACCATGTTCATATTGTCATTTTTGTCTATCCCACAGCCCATGTCATTTTTCCTTATTGGAAAATGATTATACACTTTAATCTCAATTTAAAATTTTTAATTTAATTTTTTTTTAATTTTAATTAAACTAATTAGTTATTTTAACTTTAATCTATGATTATTTATATTATAAAATAATTATTTTCACTCATACATTCTTAATTATCTACTAATTATATTTATTCTAAATCTCCATGTCTACGGTAACGCAGACATCCAATGTGGAACGTATGGAGTATTATTTAAATATAAATTATTATAGCTCAAAATATTTTTTGATAGGTTATAGAAGCGAACCGACTGAAATTTTGGATGGATTGTTCAACTTTTTTTAAAAAAAATTCGGAACCGTATTCAACTTATTTAATAAACGAAAAAAATAGGAACAAAATCAAGAAAGCAATAAATTAAGGAATTAAGAAACTCATCCCAATCTTTTTATATTTATATCCATATTATTATATATGTATTATTTTAAAAAAAAAATCATATTATTTTTATTAATTTTATTATTAATCAATAATAAATTAATATTTAATTTATTATTTTAAAAGAATATATTTAAATTTCTAATTATAGAATATAAAATTTTACGAATGATAAAATATTAATAAATAAAAATAAAATAACATATTTAAAATAAATTACAAAAAACAATATATACATTTATAATTTATATTATATACATATATTATGTGTTTCAATTAAAATGGAAATTTGAAAAAAAAAATCTTTCAAATCTTTTTGTTTCCTTTTTTTATATAAAAAAATGCTGACATGTGTATTCCTCCTATAAGTGCTTTAATCATTATGAATATATTACTAGATGAAAATTAATCAACGTTATAAATTTACTATTTAGCCCAGTAAAGACTCATTTTAGTCTAATATCTATACTAGAAATTAAATATGATAAAAAAATTTGAATTAATTTCTTTTTGAAAAGATTACGTGAATCTATGTAATGAAATTCTTTGCTAATATAATATTACATCAAATACACATGGAATTATAGCAATCAGATTTTGAATATCATATTACCTCAATAACATAATACCATGGAATTTATAATAACAATCTTGGCACTATAAATAACTAAAAACACAATAAAACAACCTCAAATGAAAAGTTTAAGAAAATAAAACACAAAAAGTAAGAATGCGTTCAAAGGTTTCTCATTCTAATCTCTTCCGCAAGCTAACCCTAACCCTAGTCCTTTGTTTCTACGGCCTATCAGCTACTGCCAAAGTAATTCACATAAACAGTGCTCTTCCAGCGAAATCACCTCAAATCAAAGTTACTATCCGAGGAGATGGGAAATTCGCTTCGCCGGTTACATTGAATCCAGGCCAAGAAACTATTATTAATGTAGTTCATGCAAATGAGAAGCGCGAGGTTAGAGCGATGGCTGACTATGGCCTCAAATTTGCGGAGTTTGCAGCGTACAATCCATCCCGAGATAAGGGTAAGGAGAACGTGTACTGGAGAGCGACGAATGAGGGCTTTGAGCTGAGCTATGACAAGAAAGATTGGAAGATGACAACTCCTTGGGAGACAGAGTGAAGTTGTGTTTTAATTTCTTTACATTTGCTTCCCATAAATTAAACGTACATGCTTAGTAGCGAGATTAATGTTCGACATCAAAGAGCGAGATTAATGTTTGACATCAAAGAATAGTGTGGTTTGTGGCACTGCTCTTTTGTTGCCGTTCTATAATCGCAACAAAAGATCTGTAGCAAAAGCTAATTTTAGTTAATAAAATTGGCGTAACAAAAAGTTTTATAATTCGTCAACTTGTATTTTTATTTGGTTCGCTTATTTGTTCGTAATGAATATAATTATGATTAAAAATGATTTTAAATGCATTTGTTATACGTACAATCTCTAAAACACGAATAAATATAATATTTATAAGTAAACATATAAAAAAATATATAAATGTTTTTTTTTTTTAAAAGAAAAATTTAAAATTAAATCCCAAAAACTTTATTTTAAATTAATTCCTAAATCTAATACCCAAATTTAACCCCTCTCAATCCGCCACCTTTCTTTCTCCTCTGCTGCCCGTCGTGCCGCCGCCGCCGCCCTGCCGTCCGCCTCGACCTCCGGCCTCAGCCACCGCGACGTCACCAACCCTCCACCAACTCCGCCAACACAGTTAGCCCGAGCGCCGCCGTTCACCGCTCCTCCACCGCGCTTCAACCCATCGACGAACAATCGAGCCACCGCAACCGCCCAACTCCACTCCATCGCGCGCCTCCACCGCGACGCTTTCTGAACCGAGTCCAACCACCTCCGCCGAGCTCTACCGCCGCACCTCCACGCCACCGCCCAGACCCGCGCTCACCCAGATCCAGCCGCGCCAACCGCCGCCGCTGGTCTTCATCCTCCGATATGGTGATATCCCTTCATCTTTCTTCTTCTAATATTTTAAATTTTGGGATAATTATTGATCGCAATTGATATTCTTGCTTGCCAACTAATATTGAATTTATTGAACCCTAGTGACTAGAAATTTGCCATGAATTTTGTTTCAATATTTTTTTGGATGATAGTAATGTTGAAGTGTTATGCGTGTGATTTACTAATTCCATTTTTGGATATTCTTTCTTAGAATAGTTATATTGGGGTTATGAATTTCGTTGAATTTGTGCGCCCCAATTGTAACACCCTAGCCGGTTCAAACCGAAGCGTCACCGCCACGCCACACCCTAAGACTCGTTCATCAACCAACTAGCCCTAAGTTGTGGCGCTAAGGCTAAAATAACCCTTACAAAACAACTACTTAGAGATTTAAAATAAAGCGCACCGGTTTATCATTTAAATAAATAAGGTTCGAGTCAAAAGCATAAGTTGAAAATAGTTCAAAAGGCATTAGTTCTTAAACCTTAATAATGGATTTCAAAAATATTTTAGAAGATAATAATTCCCCCGATGGATCATATGACGTGGATGCATCATTTAGGTATAACAAAGATATGATCACCTACAAAAAGGTTGTAAGAAGAGGATCAATGAGTAAACGCAATTAATCAAAGATAAATTAATACGGTATAATGCCACAAAATCATTTGAAGAAGATAATTTGAATAAGATAGACACATATCACATAAGGATAACTAACACACGAGTCTTTTAGCGTCTCCCTTATATCTGATTTTTATTCTCAAATAATAGCGATGAGCACATCACTAAGAAAACTCCTAGGCCTTAATCAGGGCCGGCTCGAGCCGATTTTTCAACCTTATTACTTCGTATGACACGTCATATACTTTCACATAACAAACATGGGGTCACAACCCTAGGATATTAATGTACATAAGGGTTCGAAATCCAAAGTACACGTAAATCAATGTATTATTAGTTTGCGAGTGGCACCATACGATCCACAATCCTCTCGTCTCCAATATAAGATACCAAGAGGGAATTGTACGCAATCCATCCCTCCATCACGGATGACGGTCTAAAGACCTTTTCATCGTGAATGACAAGCACCTCGTAATCACCCAAAAAGGAACCCACCATCTCGATCCTTCGACCTAGCCCATTCGGGATCTAGTTCAAGGTTAGCTAGTTATCCTAAAATACCGGTATACCCTCACGTGTTTGCAAGGCACAGAGGTGGAAGGCTATGCCTTATCATCTAAACAATCGACGAGTTGATCGGACTCGACGGATAGTTTCAATACCAATTTGACCAAATACTCAACATGCTCATAGGCAAATTTTAAAAAGAGTGTTTTAAACTCAAAATATTCCAATTGTCAACATTTAACCATGCAAAAGTAGAATATTAGACCCAACAAGTTCGTTATAATCTCACTTTATTTCACCAAATAAACATTCGAATAATATGTCAATTACAATAGGCATGGTCTAACTCCAAAAATCATAATATTTAAATATAATCATAATTTTTTTCCAAAAACCATAACTAGGTTAAGGCAAAACTAAGGTTTCAAACTCATCCCATAAATTCAATGATTTCCAATTTAAAATTCAATAATAATCTTCACATAATCCTATGACATTATAATCAACTTTCATTAATCCCACTTACCTTAAGAGAAGCGTCCAACAGGAAGAGTTTTGGAGAATAAGAATTCCAAGGAAGAATTCCATACGATCCACAATCCTCTCGTCTCCAATATAAGATACCAAGAGGGAATTGTACGCAATCCATCCCTCTATCATGGATGACGGTCTAAAGACCTTTTCATCTTGAATGACAAGCACCTCGGAATCACCCAAAAAAGAACCCACCATCTCGATCCTTCGACCTAGCCCATTCGGGATCTAGTTCAAGGTTAACTAGTTATCCTAAAATACCGGTATACCCTCACGTGTTTGCAAGGCACAGAGGTGGAAGGCTATGCCTTATCATCTAAACAATCGACGAATTGATCGGACTCGACGGGTAGTTTCAATTACCAATTTGACCAAATACTCAACATGCTCTTAGGCAAATTTCAAAAAGAGTGTTTTAAACTCAAAATATTCCAATTGTCAACATTTAACTATGCAAAAGTAGAATATTAGACCCAACAAGTTCGTTATAATCTCACTTTATTTCGCCAAATAAACATTCGAATAATATGTCAATCACAATAGGCATGGTCTAACTCCAAAAATCATAATATTTAAATATAATCGTAATTTTTTTCCAAAAACCATAACTAGTTTAAGGCAAAACTAAGGTTTCAAACTCATCCCATAAATTCAATGATTTCTAATTTAAAATTCAATAATAATCTTCACATAATCCTATGACATTATAATCAACGTTCATTAATCCCACTTACCTTAAGAGAAGCGTCCAACAGGAAGAGTTTTGGAGAAGAAGAATTCCAAGGAAGAAGAGGGGGGGCTGGTGGCTTGCGTGTCTGCTGCTCTATTCCTTCTTTTTATTTTATTTTATTTTATTTTATTTTATGCTTTATTAAACATAAAAGACTTGGACTCATCATCTATACTCTAACCTGGATACGCTATATCTTAACAAACTAGGCATACCCTATATTTCTTATTAAATCCACACTTGGATATGATATATTTTAAGGATAAAGATACCTAAACCAAGAGATATGGATAAACCAAATCTAGTTTATTATTTATTTTACCCTAAATTTAATTTTACTCATAATTTAAAGCCAATTCCTTAATTTTTTACATCAAAAGTCCAAAATAAATTAGGCCCAAAATAATATTGTCCAACTCCGACGTCGAACTCCGACGAACTTCCGACGAGTATTTTTACAGGGTATTACACCAACTGTTTTATGTGATGGTTGCATTGTATTGCTTAGCAATTTTATGTGATCTCTATGCTAATTTATCTCTATTGGTTGTGATATAAGAGTGATTTGAATATCTTGACTTTTGGGCATGCTTGAATTGAAAAATGAACTTTTTTTGTTGAACCTTATTATGAGTGGTGTCTTTGTTGCAGTTGATTCTTTCGTGCATTAATTGAGTGTTGTTTACTTCATTGCCTTAAATATACTATGTGAACGTATTTTTTTGTGTGTGTCAACCCTTCGGTGTGGCAATACTTTCATGTGTTGGCTAGTTGGTTGTGTTGGCTAGTCTGTTTTATTATTTTCATGCACACATGATGTGTATTTCTCTTGACGATACTTGCCATGTCGAACAACTCTGTATCTATTTTGACCAACTAATGTAAATTCAAATTATGGGACTTGATTGGAAGTGTAATGAGTTTTGTCATATTTTTCAATAAGATGTAACAGTATATAAATGTTTCAAACTTAAAATAGGTAGTGTAGGAAAAATGCATTGTCCCATTAATTTTATGAAACACAAATAAATAAGATATCATTGTCGGTTAGTCATCATCCGGAAAAGCCAAGGAAAATGTCCATCTTGTTATGTTAGATTTTGGGTAACTTAGATTTATAATAATATTTTAAAATATGATCACGCCTTTAAATATATTTAGTTGTTTATTAGTATTACTAAATATTTTGAATTTAATTTTTTTAAATACAAATATATTAGATGTGATATTCTAAAAGTAAGTTAAATGATGAATGTGTCAACAACATTGTCTTATGTGTGTGAACTTATAGATGCCTTCCATATTAACTTAATATAGATGTTAGCGTACTTATCTGTAAAAAATGTTATTCAATCTTGAATGGCGATTATAAAATATTGAAATCTTTTTTTCTTGTTATCTCAATGTAATCAAAAGTATCTAATGGTAATGGTAGAAGGATCAGATATTATTGATAGACTCAATGCATGTTGAATTTTTTTGGTGTTCCAAGTTGCCAGGCTTTCTTACTTAATCGGTCCTATTAAATGCATTAAATGAGTAGCATGTAGAAAATTCGCTGTGAAGAAACATTGGATCTAAAAGAACTTAAACATATGTGCCACTCGATCAAAACTGATGAATCTTTCTTTGTTCATCACATACTTTCACTATAAACATATTGTATACTGTTTATGTTTATGTGTCAATATAAAGAAGGTATTTGTTTGCTTTCTTCTCTTTTCTATTATATTGTTTGTTTCAGAGTTGTGGATTTTATGTGTTGCTAAAAATACATCAATTGGTTGCATTGTAGTAGAGAGGAAAGCTCTTCTCAAGTTCAAGTCAAGCCTTGATGATCCTGCAAATATTACACAGCCTTCGTGGAGGGGCATCGATTGCTGCACATGGGAAGGTATTACTTGTGATGAGAATACAAGTATGTTATCCAACTTAATCTCATATACAATGTATGATATGTTGTTGAGTAATATCTTAAGTAGTGAAAAAGCCTAGATCCTTCTCTATTTGAATTAAAGTATCAGAATTCTTCGGACTTGAGTGGAATGACTTTTGATCCTGAGTTTTTAGGATCAATGAAGCAACTGCATTATCTTAATCTCTCTTCTACCGCCTTTGGAGGAACTGTCAGCATCTTGGCAATCTCTCAACCTACACACCCTTGATCTCAGCCATAATAATTTTACATCCAATGATAACTCATGGCTTTGCAATATGTCATCATTGGAGAGTCTTGATGTGAGTGGGATCGACCTTGGTACAAATAGAAATTTCATCAATGTACTCAACATGCTTCCCTTTTTATCAATGTTGTGTTTGTCTCGCTGTTCACTTACAACATTTATTTGCCCAATTCCTGCATAAATTCAATATTCATTTCACATGCCAAATACTTGTGTATGATTGTTATGTTTGTATTTGATTATGTTGTTGTAAGGGCTATTATTTGGGTTTAAGGTAATTGTATGGTTTATTGTTGTTTTAAGGCCTGTTTGGTGGTTATTTTTTTGCTATAGGGGCTGTTATGTTATTTGTGTTGTAGGAGGATTTCATTCATATGGTTTATTTATAGTTGTAAGGACTGATATGGATTATGGTGTTATGGTTTATAAATGTTGGTTTATTATTGTTTTCCGGCCTCATATGGATTTATGCTTTTATGGTCTATTCATTATTTGGTGGTCATCCTCGCTATTTTAGTTTATTGGTGTTGTATGGGCTGTCTGGTGGTTTATTGTTGTTTTATGGTTTTGATTATGTTAAGAGTGGTCACTCCCATGTTTATGTTTTGGTTTTAAACATTGCTATATGCTTATTTAGGATATAGTCCTACAACAAGTTGATGAATATTTTTTGTTGTTATATATGTCAGGATATGTCATTGACTTTCGTATGTCGTTACAAGTTTGCAACTCACATATATTGATAAATTTGTTTACGAAAGTCATTTTCGTCGTAACTAGCACAGATTTTTCGTATTTATATAGGTAATACCCTAGTCATTGTTAAAGTGTTTGTCACGGTCCCAAGTACCCCACTTATACTCCCAACGAATGCTGGAGCGAAGATCCTCGGTTAGGTACTCGACGAAGAAAACAAGAATGTACGTTTTTTTTTTTATTAGTTGTGTTCTTTTGAGAATCAAATGATTCAATTGCAATAATAAATTCTTGTTTATCTTGGAAATTCATTGCAGTTGGTCCGTTGCCTCTTATTGCCTTATTTTTTATTCTAAGTGTTGTGGTATGGTACTGGGTTGATCTACTTACGTACTATTTTTTTAATTTGGGGATCATATATTAGGTGAATGTTAGATTGATGTGGGACATGATGGCCATAGTTGATATGCTTTAAAGTACTATTGATGGTTAATTTTTTTCTTTTGGAATGTCTATGAATATTTTTGGATTGACATTATTTTGTCGGGTTCATTAAGGATTTCAGATTAATTATAATAAAGTTATGCATTTAATTATTTGTCAAGCAATTTTCATTTGTGGCGACGGAAATTTTATTTTTACGCAAACACGCTTTTTGTATCATATTTTTTGTTACAAAAATCTTTAGTAACAAACAGTGTTTCATAATGATATGACGAAGAAAACAATAAAAACAAGAAAGTAACGAAAAAAAACAGAGGAAAACATAAGTAAATGAATAAATAAATGAAAATAAAATTGTATAAAATTTGGATGATGAATGTGTTATTTTTTTATTTCAAGACGTCTATATGGTACCTATATATGCATTCCCCAAATCTTACAATTAAACTTATTATTGTCATATCCTAAAATTCTTCATTATCCTACTAAACGCCAGGCAGTAGAACTGTTTTATTTGGCCCTCTATAAGCTTATGTTTGTGTCATCGTCGATGTCAATTGCCAGACCGCAGGTCTGGACTGCTTGGCCTTTTACTGAGTCTGTCATAAAAAGTGTCGATTTGGAAAAATATAAATATAAATTTATCACTAATTGACTAATTGAATACCGATAATCATGCCTGATTCGGAAATACTCTGAGAGTGAGAGGAAACCAAGGATTGATGCCTTTGATGAAGATAATTTTTTTCGAGGCTAGTTGGATAGTATTGCCTCTGATCGTGACCTCAACTGCATACTCCATTTCCATGGTCATTTTATGGTAAATACAGTTGGATTTTTGCCCATCAAGCTCATTGTCATCGCAATCAGCCCCAATATTGCAGGGTGACATCATGATGAAAAAAGACAACCCTTTTATATAGATAACAGAGGATAGCCTTGCCGAGGATGCTGTCCCGCTTCCATATATTTTGGAAAGCCTTTGTTTCTCACTGTCGCGCTTGGCGCAAGGTTTTGGTTAATGACGATGTGTTAGATCATCTAATCCCTGCTTTGAATAAGATCGAGAAGAATCACAACAAACTAATCCCTGCTGGAACGCGAACTACGAATCTTATCGGTAATGTGCACAAAGCCGACTCCTAAATTAGCTCAGCCGCCTTTGCTCGGAGATGAAGCTGAAATCCACATCCTTGGGGAGACCCAATCTTCTTACCCGAGGCCTGTTGAGCTGAAAGACGACGAGGAATCACCGAACCGCCCCCGTAGGACCACTCTAATTTTCAAGGTGCAGGATTCACTTGACGAAATTAATTTTTAGAGTTATGCGAGTCCAGGACTATTAAGGATTTCGAGACTGTTTTCCTGGGACTAGAAGGAAATATCCAGATTAGCTCGAAGCATTGTCAAACACCGGCTACCATTACCAACAAAGCCCAATTACCAGCCACGCAAGCAGCTCCTGAAGAGGTTCAGTTGTTTGCCTCGAGGCCTGCTGAGCTCACAGACGATGAAGTACTGCAGCGCAAGATAATTCCGTTGTTGGAGGCATAAGATCTTGTCAACGAAGTGAATTTGGAAAGTGAGATGAATTCCAAAACTACATGGGATTGGGATGGGTCAGCACATTGCTGAAGGAGGAGAAAGAGCAGCGCCTTGTTTGTCGGGAAAACAGCCCTACCGTCCTCTGGAATGTCTTAATCCAGAAATCTTCTTCAAAGTTAAAGAAGAAATACAGAGGTTGTTGAAGAAGAAGAATGGGTAGCTGCTCACATATGTGCCTACAAAAAAAGTTGGTCATGTTCATGTGTCACAAGGAGATCGATGGCGAAATACGGTGGAAAGCAACGGTGGCGTGTCGGGCGGCGTACGGCAGCGTCAGAAATGGTTTCGGGAGAAGTTCCGAGAGCAAATACAACAAGTATCATGTGTAAGTGCGAAAATCGATCAATTTTGATTACAAAAGTCTCGATCAGTGATAAATTTGCATTTTTCCATATCGATTCTTTTCTGAGGGATAATTTGTTATTCCAAATATTATTTGGGACTTGTTATGGCAGACCCATTAGAAAGCCTATCAGTCCAGACGCGCGGCCCGGCAATTGGCATCGACCCGTGACCCAAGCAAAAGCTCATAGAGGCCCAAACGAAGAAAGAAATAAATGTCTTATTACTTGGAGTGTGTTAGAATAACGAGGTATTTTAGGATATGATAATAATAAATTTAATTGTTGGGTTGGGGGATGCATACGTAGGTTCCATTCGGACGTCTTGGACAAAAACAAAACGAAACAATCGTCAGTCATCCTCTTGTGACACGTTATACCTACAAATGCAATATGTATACAATACATATCTTCTACGCTCTTAAGTGGTCAATGCTTATACCTATATATAGGTGTGTTTGCTTAATGAAAAAAGAGCAGTGCATTTTTCTTTCTCTCCCTCACCTTCCTCTTACAAGCATTTATTATATTTATTACTATCTTATCAAGAATATACATACATACATTAACATCAAACATACACATGCATATATATATACTAGAACACGCTCTTGCGCGGTATACCGCGCGACTATTCTATAATGTAATGTAGTGAAACATTATTTATTTGAAATATAAACTGTAAAACAAAAATGTAATCGAATTATTTGCGCTCAGGTCGGTGGGTCAGGTCGTTTGGTTTGGTCGGTTGGTTAGCGGTCGGATAGGCAGGTCGGAAGGTCCTCAGTCGGTTGGTCTGGTCGGTTGGTCCTCGGCCGGATGATCAGGTCGGTTGGTTAGCGAATGGATGGGCAGGTCGGAAGGTCCTCGGTCGGTTGGTCTGGTCGGTTGGTCCTCGGTCGGATGGTTAGCGGTCGGACAGACAGGTCTGATGGTCACCAGATCGGACAGACAGGTCTGATGGTCTGCGGTCGGATAAAGTAGGTCGGCTGGTCTGCGGTCGGATAGGCAAGTCATCTGGTCCGCAGGTGGATAGACAGGTTGCTTGGTGGGTGCGGCCAAGGAGTCTTTTGGTCTAGCGATTGGTCTCTGGATTGGTCGGTTGGGCTATTTGAGTTCTGGAACTGGTGGAGGCGTTTGGTGAGGCGGTTGATGTAACCGACCAGACGACGTTTCAAAATGTTTCGTCTTGGGCGGTTGACGGCGGTTGCTGGCGACGGTTCCAAAACGTCTTTTCAAGCCAGTACAAAGGTAGGGTAAGAGCTAAATTGTCATTTTCGAAATGAGGGGCATGATAGACTTTTCAAGTGACAAATCCATACAATCTCGTGTATAACAACATACAAGTTTTAATACCCAAATCAACTAATACATAAGGTCTTGTTACGTACAAAAATAATAATAATAATAATAATAATAATAATGGTAGCAGTGTCTTGAAGGAAGGTAGGACCCGAAGTCGGGTAGAAAAGTAGAAAAATTTGCGCTCAGGTCGGTTGGTCAGGTCGGGAGGTCCTCAAGATGGAAAGTCATCAGGAAGGAAAGTCCTCAAGTCGGTTAGTCAGGTCGGTTGGTTAGCGGGTCGGAAAGTTTGTAGGTCTGATGGTCAGTAGGTCGGACAGACAGGTCTGATGGTCAGCAGGTCGGACAGACAAGTCGGAAGGTCTGCGGTCGGGTAGTCAGGTCGGTTGGTTAGCGGGTCGGATGGTCCATAGGTCGGAAAGTCTGCAGGTCTGATGGTCAGCAGGTCGGACAGACAGGTCGGATGGTCAGCAGGTCGGACAGACAGGTTTGATGGTCAGCAGGTCGGACAGACAGGTGCGATGGTCAGCAGGTCGGACAAACAAGTCTGATGGTCTGCGGTCGGATAAAGTAGGTCGGCTGGTCTAGCAATTGGTCTCTTGAATGGTCGGTCGGGCCAGTTGAGTTCTGGAACTGGTGGAAACGTTTGGCGAGACGGTGCAAGACACGTGTCAATAAAGGAGGAATTAGTGGGCAGTTGATGTAACCGACCAGACGACGTTTCAAAGCGTTTCGTCTTGGGTGGTTGACGGCGGTTGCTGGCGACGGTTCCAAAACGTCAATTCAAGTAATATTTAAGGATTTAGATTTTTTATTTTCAAGCATCTTCAATCAACTTCAACAAAGCAAAGTCAGATTTGGGGATCACCACTTTAAATTTTCAGCATTTTAATTTTCCAATCAATTTCCTTTTATGTACCGTACAGTGTTTAGAGATTCCTAATCTCAGACGCTAAAAAATCAAATTTAAGGTATTACGTACAAAAATAATAATAATAATAAAAATAATGGTAGCAGGGTCTTGAACGAAGGTAGGACCCGAAGTCGGGCAGAAAAGTAGAAAAATTTGCACTCAGGTCGGTTGGTCAGGTTGGAAAGTCCTCAGGTCGGGAGGTCCTCAAGACGGAAAGTGGTCAGGTCGGGAAGTCCTCAGGTCGGGACGTCCTCAGGTCGGGAGTTCCTCAAGACGGAAAGTGGTCAGGTCGGGAAGTCCTTAGGTCGGGAGGTCCTCAAGACAGAAAGTGGTCAGGTCGGGAAGTCCTCAGGTCGGGAGGTCCTCAAGACAGAAAGTGGTCAGGACGGGAAGTCCTCAGGTCGGGAGGTCGTCAAGACGAAAAGTGGTCAGGTCGGGAAGTCCTCAGGTCGGGATTTCCTCAAGACGGAAAGTGGTCAGGTCGGGAAGTCCTCAGGTCGGGAGGTCCTCAAGACAGAAAGTGGTCAGGACGGGAAGTCCTCAGGTCGGGAGGTCCTCAAGACGGAAAGTGGTCAGGTCGGGAAGTCCTCAGGTCGGGAGGTCGTCAAGACGAAAAGTGGTCAGGTCGGGAAGTCCTTAGGTCGGGAAGTCCTCAGGTCGGGAGGTCGTCAAGACATAAAGTGGTCAGGTCGGGAAGTCCTTAGGTCGGGAAGTCTGCAGGTCTAATGGTCAGCAGGTCGGACAGACGGATGGTCAGCAGGTCGGACAGACAGGTCTGATGGTCAGCAGGTCGGACAGACAGGTCTGATGGTCAGCAGGTCGGATAAAGTAGGTCGGCTGGTCTAGCAATTGGTCTCTGGAATGGTCGGTCGGGCAAGTTGAGTTTGGGAACTGGTGGAAGCGTTTAGCGAGACGGTGCAAGACACGTGTCAATAAAGGAGGAATTAGAGATTCCTAATCTCAGGCGCTAATTAATCAAATTTAAGGA